ATCTGCAACAGACCAATAAAAGACAGTGCCAGACTCGTCTTCCAAATTGAAACTGTAAGCTTTGATGGTTGTACAAGTGTTTACAGATATCCACGTTATTGCTAATATGGAGGCCAACCGATGGGTATCTTTGTGGGGCCGGTTGCGATTGCGCATGTGTGGGAGACCATCCGAGAATATCATTTCTGGAGGAATTGAGAAGTTGTGGGGGATATTGAGGTTAATGTGTGCATTCCAATTGCTCTCTGGCGTCATGGCCCGGTACGCGGATCCAGCTGTCATTGCGTCGTCCAATATAGTCGTACTCGTAGCCGCAAAGAAGCATGGTGGATGCTCCATGCAACCAAGCGAGTGGTGTTGTGGGGCATCTGAAGCATTTCTCGGCACATGCCCACGTGTGTCTCGTAGAATTAAGAACGTTCGCGTGTTGAAAAAGGCTAAATGCAAGTTGCCGACAATACCGAAATTTGATAGTATCGATGACATGGTAATGCCGGAACGTCATAATTGAAGTTTTTCTGACATCTGGAGAGTAAGTTCGATGCAAGGTACCATCCATGATGGGGTTGCGTTACCGGGTAAGTTGGCCTCTTCCGAAAGCATGTATTAGCCGCTGTCATCCGCGTCGCGCGAGGCTGCCTGCTGATCAGCTTTAATGACGCGCAATGCCTTGGGCATCCATGGCGCACGTACGGCACAAAAAAAAAACCCCATCGTTCGATCTCAGTCGTAAATCCGATGTTTGGTATGAGGACAATAGAAGGGCTGCAAAGCGGGGAATCGCAACGCGCCCATGACGCGTTGACCTGGAAGGGAGGAAGCAGCCACCCAGCTACCCGAGGACCGACCATGCGAGTCGCAACACCATAAAAAGACAAGCCTAGGTCTTTTTGTAAACATGCTGGGTATTCAAAAACAAAGATGGCTAACTAGACTACGCTCTCAGTCCCTCCATAAGAGCACCCTCCTCTCTCTTCCCCACAGCCTGAAAGACAGCACCATCACCACCAATATCCAATCCCTTCTCCGCCCTCTCATACGCCTCATCACTCCTATCTAACAAAATCTCCAACTCCTCCTTCCCCAACACCTTCCCACTTTCCGTAGCCTCAACATCGAACTTCTCTCCATCGCTTCTCCTGAGGAGCTTCTGTAATTCCTCAACCTCTTGCTCCTTCTCATTACCCCGAGTCCCGCCCCGGTCATTCCGCACACCACCCTTCCTAATGACAAGCTTTTCAAGCCGACGCTTTGCTTCTGCAGATTCAAGCAATTTCTGCTCGACTGTGTTGCGCGTTGCGAAGCGGTAGACGATGACGTTGCGGGTTTGACCGATGCGATGCGCGCGGTCCATGGCTTGGAGGTCTTGTTGAGGGTTCCAGTCGCTGTCGAAGAGGATGACTGTATCCGCTGCTGCGAGGTTGATGCCTTGGCCGCCGGCGCGGGTGGAAAGGATGAAAATGTCCGCAGCCTCCTTTGTGGTAGATGGCTTGTTGAAGGCTAGGATCTGGTCTTGACGGTCTGTTTGTGCGACAGATCCATCGATACGGGCGTAGTTCCAGGAGCGTAGGTCGAGGTAATGGCCTAGGAGGTCCAGGGTGGTGGTGAACTGAGAAAAGATCAGGACCTTGTGGCCGCGACGTATCAGCTCGGGGAGAAGTGCATCGAGGAGAAGCATCTTGCCAGAAGTTGATACGATAGTCTCATCGGGTTCTGTCTCCGATGCGAAGGTTTCGGCTCCGTCAGTGTCTGCTCGTATGAAAGGGTTGAAGAAGTTGTATGGCGAGTTACAGCACAGTCGGAGCTGCATGATGGGGTTACCGAGCTTCTTCTGCATGAGCTGACGCTTTGCGATCTCAAAAGTCGCGGCTCGCGTTCTCTCTTCTTCAGCATCAGAGCTCAGGTCCTCTTCTTCTTCCTCGGATTCTGGCTTGTCCAGTCCATCGAAGTACTCGTCATCACTCACTTCTTCGTAGTTCTTCTTTGGTCGGCCTCGACTTCTCGTTGAGGCGACAGACGCGGGCGTGCCTGCACGAGACGTCTTCGCGCTCTTGCTTGGTGTCTCCCTGCTACTCAAAGCCTTACGTTTAAGACTGCCGTTGTTACTGCGAATGCTCAATGGCGTTCCTGCTCGACTGCTAAGACCAATGCTCAATCGTTCAACAGCTTTCTCCTCGAGATAGGATCGACTGGTGCCATCAAGGATGGCTTGGTACAGCTCACGTTGCATGGAAGTCAACGGAGCGTACAACACGTACTCGCGCTTCTTGGGCATCAAGCTCTCAACGTCTGTCTTGACTCGTCGCAGCAAGAATGGCTTCAGGACAGCATGTAGTGACTTGACCAGATACTGCTGTCGCTCCTCCGATAGCAGCTGTTCGAAACTCGACTTGTCTTTTAGCCCAGAGAAGTCGAACCAGCTCTCAAACGTAGATAACTTGTCGAATACTGTCGGCAGTAGGAAATGCAACAGTGACCACAGCTCCACAAGATTGTTCTGCAATGGCGTACCAGTAATGAGGAGACGGTTCGCGGACTGGAACTGTTGCAACTCGCGGATCAGCCGGCAGTCGAGGTTCTTGATGCGATGTCCTTCGTCGATGATGATGAACTGCCAGCCGAAACTTGTAAGGTATTTGCGATCGTTCATGCAAATCTCGTAGCTGGTGACCATGATAGGGAAGTCGGCGGTACCGGGGTTCCGTAGTCTCGTCTTGCGTAGTCTTTCACGCTCCTTCTTGTCGCCATGGTATAGCATGACCGGCATGCTGGGTGTCCATTTCTCAAACTCTGCAACCCAATTACTTGTGGTGCTGAGCGGCGCGGCGATCAGGAATGGCCCGTACGACTTGTTCTCCCATAGATGTGCGAGCATAGCGATTGTCTGGATGGTCTTGCCCAGACCCATCTCGTCTGCCAGAATGCCATTGATGCCATTGTTGTAGAGTGACACCATCCACTCAAGGCCCTCAAGTTGGTATGATCTCATGGTACCTCCAGTGACAAGTTTCGGCTGCCGCGCGGACTTGAGGTCTGTCATGCCAATGTCGCCTGTTTTGACATTGTCTTTGTCGTCCTCTGCTGCTTCTTTCAAGGCCTCTCCAACGTCCTGATTACCCGCCTTCTTTTCTAAATCAGCCTTGCTGAAGTAGCTCGCTATGTCCGAAGTCTGCTTCTTGGGTCTACCACGGCCCTTGGTGTCTGTCTTCTTTGGTCTGCCCGCGCGTTTCTTTGGTGTCGCATCCTCTTCTTCCTGCTTCGCCGTTGTCGCGCCGTTGGCCGTGGATCCGCGCGTAGCTCGTCGCTGCGATGCTGCTGCTGTTGTATCGGCGATTTGTTCGCGCTTCGAAGTCTGTCCGTTCGTCTTCTCGTCTTGCTCGTGCTCCTGTTCTTCTTGCTGCTGCATCTGCGCAAGCATAACCGATGCATACAGCTACCATACGTTAGCGATCGTTCAAAGCAATATAGTATACTGTCTCAACGATAGAACTGACCTTGCTCTTATTCATCAAGAACTCCAATTGCTGGAACTTCTTGTCGAGGACCTCCCTGCCGCTCTTAATGTCTTCTTGCCTCTCCTTCTCTAGTTGTGCTTCGCGTTTCGCGTCATCCTTTTCGCGTTGTGTTCTCATGCGCTTCTCCTCCTGCTGCATCGACTGCGGCACACTCTCTGCATCCATGTCGACTGGTGGTGGCGATGAAGCAGGTGTAGAATGCGATCCAGACATTGCGCTCGTAACAGGGGAGACGGTCATGTCGCGTGCGATGAGAAGTATTGCTCATGAACAGGATCAATGGGAACGATGGTATTGTATCTAGCGCCAGGGGTATGTGGTGATGACCGCATGCAGTGGAACGCGGTCGCGATGAAGGGGACGCGCTAAGTGGAAAATCGATGACGATGTTCTCGACGCGCGATCACGCCTAAACTTTAATTACTTCTGTCCACCCGTCCCGCGACGCGTCTACAGTCCAGCCAACGCGACATTAGAGCTTCAAGCGATAGAATACTGCGTCCTCTGGGTTCTCATAATAGCTGTCAATCTCCTCAAACCCGTATCCCTCATACAGCTTTCTTGCAGTCTTCATGCTGCGTAATGTGTCGAGCAGCATCTCTTCATAACCTAGCTTCTTCGCATGCGAGAGCGCAATTTCCATCAATGGTTTGCTGAGACGCATTCCCCGCGTTTCTGGTGCGAGAAACAAGCGCTTGAGCTCGCATGTCTTGGTGGGTGGTGATGTCGATTGCGCTAGTAGTGCTGCAGATTCAGCCTGGGTGGGCGTCGCGAAGAAGGGTCGGATGGCTATGCATCCTATGGCTCGCTCGTTCTCTCTTGTGGTGCTGAAGCCGGCGGTACTTTCGTGACTTTCCCCCTCTCCTGCCGAGGAGACCAGTAGCCAAACAGCCCCTCCCTTTTCAGTTGCGTATTTGGCAGGTAGTTCCGCCAACTCGTGGTCGAAATTTTGAAAGTCTAGGCTGATGGGCAATGACTCCGCGTACGCCTTGAACAGCTGCCCCACCACCTGCTTGTCGGCGGGGAATTCGGCATCGCGGATTTGTATGCTCGGAAGCTCAGGCATGTCGGTGTATGTGGGTCCTTGTGCCGCGGAGGGATAATGAGGGTTTTGAAGATGCCGTGAGGATCGCAGGTGTAGTAGATGTCCACGAGTACCAAACTTGATTGCAACACGTCTCCGCTTACTTTAAATACGAACCTGCCTTCGAGATGTTGCTCTTGAAGGGCGCAATTCTAGCCTTACTAGCCCAGGTTCGTTCTCCACTTTCGGAGTTCGGAGTGGGACTCATGTTCTCGAGGGTTCGCTAATGGTGGAGCATCGTGAGCGCTCTAACCTCACCAGCGCTTTAGTCCTGCTTCAGCTGTTTTCGAATTAGTATATATTGTATCTAATTCATCAAATCGCCATCAAATCACGTGTTACGGTCTTATGGGTAGGACATCACCACATCCAATTCAGCATCAACACCATCTAACAAATACCAGTCTAGTGGTATGATTCTCGCTTAGTAAGTCGACTTAGACATAAGTCTCTGCCTCATCATCCTAACAAATCCTAGGGGTAAACCCAAGCACAGCTTGCGAGAGGCCCCGCGTTCGAGTCGCGGTAAGACCCATCACTTCTTTTTTTGCGTTCGCGATGGACTTCAGCTTGAACCGCTTTCCTTTTTTGCATGCATAGAGTAGAGTATACAGCGTTGTTGCCGCACATCACAAGCCAAAACTTGATCTCACCTTAGACTAGGTTGATTGTTACCACGTTCTGCCACCAATGACTTTGAGAACCGTTGCTTCGGGCTCGACTAATAAACTATATCCTGGGACCTGCGTAGCTGAGCACTTCGCGACCTCTCTAACAAGACACTCTTCTTCCTCATACGTTTTCAAGGCAACCCGCACTATTCGCAAGTTTGTGGCGCAGTGCTTCGTGAGGTTTTATATCTGAGAAGGCGCCTTCCTTCTGCTGCTCGCGCTTTCCCCACCATACCTGAGTACCCCTCACACAATGACCATTCGCCCAGCAACACCCGCCGATGAGCCCGCCATGGCATCTCTCCTAGCCAAAGCATTCTTCGGTGAATCGCTCTTTGGCCAAACTCTGCATCCTCATCGTGATCAGTACCCAGACGATGTCAAAATATTCTGGTCCGAGTACCTGCGGGAGCACTGGAAGACACCCAATGAGAGGCTTCTTGTTGCAACGACGATGGTAGACGGAGAAGAAATGATTGCTGGCGCAGCTATCTGGAATAGACAGGGCAATGACGAGGGGAAGCGTAGGGTGGAGGGCGAGTGGGTTGATGTCGGCACGTATTTCCCACTCCTCTGAATTAAGTGGTGCCTACCTAGGTATGCTAACATCCATGCAGGACCAAATGCATTCCAGCCTCTCCCCTCAACAACGAATCGGGCTCTTGACCCCACCAAGCGCAACATCTTGGAGGAAACTATGCCCTACTTCAAGCACCACTGGGATGGCGACCGCAGAAACAACTGGTATCTCGACATCCTCGGTGTTCATCCGGACTATGCTGGCAAATCGCTCGGGCGAGAACTGGTCAGCTGGGGGCTGGACCGCGCAAGAGAAGAAGACGTCCATGCAAGTGTCGTGGCTAGCAAAGGGAACGAGCGCTTCTACCTACGCTGTGGATATGATGAGATAATCGGAAACTGCACAGAAGGAGAGGGCAACCCGCTCAAGAATGCCGGAGTTGAAGGTGGAGATATTCTCTTTATGTTTCCGAAGCAGAAGCAGGAATCTGCTACCTCGTAAGGGCGGATCTGCCCAAGCATCAATCGGTACTCGTATCTCGCACAACCTGTTCCGACACGTCCGTCGTCAAGATGGTAGCCGATGCGTCACGACGCGTTGCGGTGCTACCAAGCCGATTCTCGGTCCGACAGGTTCCTGCATTACTCGCTAGCGAGTCTTCCAGCATCTTCAACCAATCAGCGAGATGACAAGTTGAGCCGAGTAATCTCCCGGTGCTTTTGCGGGGGAGCTTTTGCGCGCTTTCTTACTATCGTCGTCATTTGCGGGTAATCGGGGGACGGAGCAAGAATGGATCTGACTGTAGAAATAAAAATGGCATCGCAGGTTGGCATCGTGCGGAAGTACCTCAGTCATCTCTCAGTTTCCTACAATCATGAGGCGCTCATCTCCTGTCTTGGTGTCTCTTGCAGCACTAACAGCAAGCCATATCATTCCTCGTCAAGAATCCATTGATTACAATGCTGCTCCACCGAATCTCTCCACTCTAGCTAATGCGTCGCTTTTCGACACATGGCGACCAAAGGCCCACGTTCTCCCAGCGTTTGGACAGATCGGAGACCCGTGTATGCACTACACCGACCCTGAAACCGGCCTCTTCCACGTGGGATACCTGCATCTGGGTGCATCAGGCGCGACTACAGACGACTTGGTTACATACAACGACCTGAACCCCAACTCCGAGCCGTTCATCCGCGCTGGCGGCATCAACGACCCCGTTGCTGTCTTCGACGGCAGCGTGATTGAGAGGGGAGTCAACGGCACACCAACATTGCTGTACACCAGCGTCAGCTTCCTGCCAATCCAATGGACGATCCGGTATACCAGAGGAAGCGAGACACAGTCACTTGCTTTTGCTACGGATGGTGGACGTAACTTCACAAAATCAGAGTTCGGTCCTGTCATCCCTGACCCACCGTTTGCTGTCAACGTCACCGGTTTCCGCGATCCATTTGTGTTCCAGAACTCGCAGGTTGATGGCTTATTGGGCAAGCGCGATGGAACGTGGTATACCGTTATCTCGGGTGGCGTGCACGGAAAAGGACCGAGCCTCTTTTTGTACGCTCAATACGACGACGAAGACAGAGATTTGTTTCAAACCTGGGAGTACTTGGGCGAGTGGTGGCATGAAGCGGCGAATTCGACCTGGACGGATGAGGGCTGGGCGGGACGCTGGGGCTACAACTTTGAAGTCGCCAACTACTTTGCTTTGGACGAGCAAGGTGCTAACCCAGAGGGCGAGATCTTTGTTACAATCGGTGCGGAATGGAGCTACGAGCCTATTGTGCCTCAAGTCTCAGACAACAGGGAGATGCTCTGGGTGGCCGGAAAGCAAGAGCTTGTTGACGGTAAACTGACTTTCGAACCTACGATGGCTGGGCGACTCGATGCTGGGCGCTCCGCGTACGCTGCTGCTGGTAAAGTCCTTCCTGCAGACTCACAAGCTAGCAAAGCTAGCGGCTCTCCGGATCGCTTCATCACATACCTGTGGCTGACAGGCGACTTCTACGGCACCTTAACCGATGAGTTCCCAACTCCCCAGCAAAACTGGACAGGATCCCTACTCCTTCCACGTGAACTCAGCGTTGGCCACCTAAACGTCATCGACAACGAGCTCTCCCGCGAGCAAGGTGCATGGAGAGTAGATTGCGAAAACGACAACGGCACCGTCACGCTCGCGACCCTCCACCAGAAGATCGCCCGGGAGCCTTACGCCGCATTCCAACAGAATGCTACGAACGTCATAACCCAATCCGGCGGATCCATGGCGGAAGTAACAAAGTTCACCGAAAGCCCAAAGTCGAAGCACTGGATGATGACCGCCTCCGTCACCTTCCCCTCTCGCTCTGACGACGTACGTGCGGGCTTCACCATCCTTTCCGGACCCCAAGAATCCACAACCATCTACTACCAATTCAGCAACGAAAGCATGATCATCGACCGTTCGAACTCTTCTGCCGCGGCACAGACTACAAACGGTATCCCCACGGACAATGAGTCTGGCAAGTTCCGCCTGTTTGATGTTGCGGGTGGACACGGAAATGAGACCATGGTCGAGACGCTGGATTTGACGATTGTGGTTGACGGTGGCGTTGTTGAGGTGCATGCGAATGATAGGTTTGCGGTTAGTACTTGGGTGAGGAGTTGGTATGGGGATAGCACGGATGTTAGTTTCTTTGTGGAGGGTGGGGAGGTGAGGTTTGGTGATGTGACGGTTTATGAGGGTTTGGTTGATGCGTGGCCGCAGAGGAACTAGAGTGTTGGAATATGGAGCTTCAGTTTGGGATGTATATAGTAAGAGCTGTTGTATGATACTGTACCATATGTTGTTCAGATCGGTTGACTACAGTAATATTATCAGGTTCTCATTTAGATTGTCGAATGCATTCATAAGTATCTGACTCAAGTCATCCGTCAGAAGGACGGCGGAAGTGCTTCAGGGGAAAGTTAGCTCAAGATCAGGCTCGCTCATGTATTAGGTTTTGGTGCTCGGGGACGAAACCATAGGTAGCGGGGAAGATTACGTCAGCGACATTGTGCACCTCCTTTTGGCTAGCACTGCCGCGGTTGCACGAGAAGGCGCGGTGGCGCGCTCTCACCACGGGCGAAACACAGTCGGCCAGACGCAGCTCGCAATGAAATGTGTTTCTCATAGTCCCCAATCACCTACCTCTCCCAATCCGCATTCTTTCAGACACGTATAAGATATCGCGCATTTGGTCTCGTCCCGAGTTCTTTTTCTGCTAAGCGCGTTGCTGCCTGCGCCTGCCTCAACACGCGATATAAGCTCACAGTACCCTGGCACCCTTCACTGCCCAACTGTGTCAGAAGCAATACTCGTGACGCGCACTCGTCAGAACCTTCTCGTCGCGCTCCATCCACCGACACGTCCGCAACCCCATCATCGAAAATCACAACGCACCCCCACCAACGAATCTCGACCCATCCTACACGATGACCATGGCGACAGTTCGCGAAGAAAGAACCCTGTCCGACACCCCAAACGGTCTCTTGCGCAGCCAGCACGAGTACTCGTACCGTCTCCCGACAGCCCCGCGCATCGTGGTTCCCCCGCCTACCCTCACCACCGACATGCCCGGCCTCTCCCTCGGTGGCGCATCTGGAGGGGAGGCTGACATGAGCTTCTTGAATGAGCTGGACCTCGAGGACATCATACAGAAGAACACACTCTTGGAATGGGCCTATGAGCGGCGGAGAGAGGCGCAAATGATCTTGCCCTGGGTCTATCTCGGACCCATGGTGGCCGCCAGGGACAAGGACTTCCTAGAGCGCGAGGGCATCACCATGGTGCTGGCTATCCGTGCGCAGGCCAAGAGCATGATGGGCGCGACAAATGCGGCTTCCCAGGTCTGCATGGAGGTGGGCAGCATCGAGGCGCCCAGCTTCTACAGCCTCACACCACAGTTCCCGGAAGCAGCGAGGCTCATCAATTCACATGTCGCGCGAGTACGACAACATAGCTTGGAGAAGACAGGGCAAGCCACCCTGGGCAAAGTCCTAGTCTTTTGCGAATCGGGAAATGAGAAGTCGGCTGCAGTCGTTGCAGCCTACCTGATGCAGACGCTCCACGACATTGATTACATCAAGGCTATGCAGGTCTGTCAAGCGCAGCGCTTCTGCGTCAACTTCGACGACGTCTTGAAGAACATCCTGCGCGCTTACTGGGACATCATCGGTGCACGACGCTCTATCGCCACTTCGAATGCTCAAGCGACCCAGCAAAATGGTCTGGGCCACGGTTTCGCACAGTCCGGATCGCTCTCGCTTCCTGTCCCGTCACTCAAGCACAAGCGTAGCGTCCAAGATATGCAGGATCACGATGAAGACACGGACATGGACAGTGGTATGGACGAGTCGGACGCGCTACGGTTTGCAGGGCGTGATGTCACTCCCTTCCAGGATCGCTAGGTGTAGGCCCCTAGCTTCGGCGATTCTATTGATTTGTTTGTTAGGCGTTCCAGTAGCATTATACCCTGCATATCTCAAGGCGTTATATGGCGATGCATCTGCATCTGAATGGTTGGTTACGTGTAGTTAATTCTGGAGCTCTGATGAGATGAGTGGATACGTGGGTTGGTTGCTCCTTCCATTCAGGCTGCCCGTAGTATCTGGTAGCGACCGCGAACGGGTCCAAATTTTCATCATACACTGGCCCTTGCACCTTCCCGCCACTTTGCGCTCTGCAACTCATGCCTGTCCTCCTACTTCAGACTGTGTACAGTCACTTCCAAGGTTGTCAATTATGCGTCTGCATCGTGACACCCCGAACAGGTAGCCAGGTATGGCACCTTCCCTTGGCTCACCAGTTGAACCAGTGTTAATCATTGGGCAAACAGGTTCATTTGCGACAACCAGGGACGCACCAGCAGAGACAAATGTCTTCCATGGTGAAGCATCTCGCTCCGATATCATTTCCCAAAGAAATCATTGACTATTCCTGCTCTTCTCCACTCGCAGGCCGAGATGTTAGCGAATCATTACAGCGCCTAGTGGCTGCCTTATCTTGAAGAGTCACTGTGTTCGCACGTGGCTGTGGCTCTTGCAATATTGCTTGACCCTGACAGTACCGCTCCCTTGATGGCGGCTGACTTTCACTTTGAATTGACAGGGCTGCTATTGCACGCTAGACGCATAGCAGTCACGATGCGGCCCCATATAGGCCCAAACATGGTGGATGCGGTGAACTCTACGGTCACCACTTACCAATATCCCGCATCTTCTTCGTTCACAACGGGCTAGGACGCATCGATACCCAATCATCGCTCACATATTCTAAATTCCACGACATGCCTTACAGCCTCCGAGATCTAGCCAAATTGAAAAAGCCTGCACGCTACAGGTCCACCGATGACGAAGAGTCCACTACCTCAGAACCAGCTTCTAGCGACCAAGGTACAGACCTGAGCGACCAAGATGAGGAAACCCGCTCCCAAGGACCTTCGCGCACAAATACGCCGGCCCCGAACCCAGACTCACTTAGATCTTCGTCTTTCACTACCGACGACGTTTATCTTACACCACACCCATTTTCGCCGCTCTTCATGTTCAACGCACCCCACCCCGCGCCAACAAGCGCAAGCAATCCACCAAACTCCCAAGAGAGTCGCAAAATGGCAAACATCAAGTACGTAAAGAAACGCTCTGGCGACGGACAGCAGCCCCAAGCAGCGCCAGTAGTACGCGACTTCGCCATGCGCCCTAGCAGGACCTCTCAGCGCGCAGCAGCTTCTGAACCCGAACCTGAGCCCACACATGTCCCTCAGAAGCCAGCGGCGTTCCCTTCGCTACCAGCCAACGCTCCACCACCGCCGTTTGACCCGAAATTCTCGGGTCATGGTATGAGAGAGCTGATGGCGGCTATCGAGACCGGCGACGAGACGCGCATGGAACACATCAAAGACCACTTCAAGATTGAATATGAGGCGGGTAAAGATCCCTGGTATGTGGCCTTGAGGCGTCGCTGGGACCCTAAGATGGTAGATTCTAAGGTACGTGAAAACTGAACACCCTGGAGCCGACGTTGGCGTTAGATCGCCTACTACGCATGTTTCCATCTTGATGTAGGCTCTGCAAGTATTCATGAGGCTAACATACAATGAAGATCACATTCGAATCTCTATGGACATCACTACGCCAGACCATCATCGAGCAGATAAAGGACGACTTCATTCCCGGCACCTATATCAGTCGCTTCTACCCCGTATGCTGCATCCTGAGCCTCTCCAAGGCGAAGCTGGATACGATTATGGCAGAGAACGCCGCAGTATGGGAGGCTGAGGCTGAGATCCCACAATACTTCAAAGACTACAGAAGGCGATACCCTCATGCTATCATCGACCCGGACGAGCCTCCCCCGACCGAAGTGGTGAGGGCGACCAGGTTCTTGAGACAGCAAAGGCTTCCTGTTAGTTTGTTGGGCGAGTGGCAGGCACTGCCGGGACCTGAAGTATTTCATCATCCTCACATGTTTCACCTTCCCACTGGACAACGTAGTAACGATCGGTAGGCGTTTTATCAGCCTTCAGATAATGAAGTAGCAGAACCAATGGATGTAGTTGACCCGGTTTTCCGTTCTCAAAAGCGTAAAAGTAAACACCAAAACCACCTTTCGTATAGACAGACCCGCAAGCTGTTAAGACGTGCTGAAGAACGGGAGGTTCGGCAAGCCGCAAGAAGGCAAGAAGGATCTGAAAAGCGGCGGCAAGAGCGATGCCAGAAGTGTGAGGGGAAAGGGCATACATTATTGGAACTCGACGAGAGAGGAGTATATAATGTAAGTAACCCGTGCCCCCAGCCTTGTCGAGCGCACGAAATAACTGAGCTGACCCTATCAAAAGTGTCCTGCACGCCGACAAGAAGTCCTGCAACACCAAACAGAAGTCGACACCCTCCGCGCACAATGTAACGCTGAACATGCAGCGCTCGATCAACGTGAGCAACCAGAACCCGCAACCAAAAGCCAACCCTCCTAACCAAACCTAACCCCAGCCTCCGGTCCCGAAGATGCCGCGCCATACCTCGAATACTTTCTCAAATTGAAAGCCAACCCGAACTCAAATCCATGCCTCGCCCGGCAAGCAAATCCCTCCAAACATAGTCCATACATGTCCACAGACCCCAAAGACCCATTATACCTACTAGATTGCTTCGGACAACTTCCGACTCCTCCACCGAGTCCCTTTACCAAAGCGGGGTCAGCGAAAGGCAGTTTCTCAGACGCGCGGGAGCGCTATAGCACACTGTCCCCACTGCTACAAGAACTATCCGCGTATGCACTGCCAGATCCACCCGTTTGGCCGAATACGGATCACTTAGCTGGTGTACGTATGCCTGTGCAAGAACAACATCTGCAGCAATACGGACCGGCGCAACAGGTACCACCACAGCAAATACCGGCGCAACATATACAAACGCAACATATACCCACACAGCATTTACAGACGCAACCCATACCAACCCCCCACATACCCAAGAAACGCGGACCGTACAAGACAAAAGACAAGTCACTCAAAGCGAACAGTATCTCGCCGAAGAACAGAGTGGTGGGTACAGGCGGTATGGTCAGTTTGGGTCACTCGAAAGAAGTAACGGATATGCTCAAGGCGCAGGCAGAGGCGCAGGCGCAAGCATCATCACAGGCGCAGGCACAAGCCCCAGTCCAAGCACAAGTACAAACACAACCCCAAGTACAACCCCAAGCACCGGCACAGCCTCAGAACGAGGGCGTAGACAAGGACGTTGAGACAAAGTCGAATACGCCGCTATCAACAGATACCACATCGATATTTGAGGATAAGGATGAGCTGGTATGTGGCGGTGCGGTACTGCCGCCGTGTCCGTATACGAATCAGACGGTGACAGCGACAGCGACGGCGCAAGAGGAGGGAGGTGTGTCGATGGTGGGTAAGACGGCGGATGGCCGTGAGAAGGGGAAGGGGAGGGCGGTGTAGATATAGGTGGAGCATGAGGAGGTGATGGAGACATATGTGCCGTTATGATAGGACGTGAGATGGTGGTATAGACTGGGGGTTTGGACAGGAAAAGGTATCGTATCTTATCGTTAGAAGCACCCAACACCCATATTGTTAGGTCTCCATATCGATGTCACTCTTTACCTTCAGTACATGTTCCTGTACACCTCACGTCACCGCAAAAGAACTGTGTGTTAAAGCGTGAATGTTTTCATTCTTGATCCAAGTGGGTATAATGCGTCCGTCATCTATGTCGTTTCCAAAAACCTTCCTCCAGAACTCCTTGCCACGACCTCCATTCGGCATCCGCTAATGCAGATGCTAATCAGCTGAACTGATCGCCATGCTCACTCTCACCTCCAACACGGCGCCCAGCTATTCTGCCTTGGCTCAACTTCCACCGCCACCGTCGTTCCCGCTCGTCCTTCTCCCTCTGCTCACGTTGAGCTTTTTTACGTTCGTATACAGCGCGGACTGTGCGTTTTGTGCGTTCGGCACCTTCACTGTAGTTGGCACGAGCGAGATTCACTACGCTGTCGATTTGCTCCGGTGTGTAGACGAAATTCCAGGTCGACATGAAGTCGCTGACCTTGGGGTCAACACCGGGAACCTTTGGGTTGGCGAGGAAGGGGAAGTATATGACCGTTATACCAGAGGCGGGGTGCATGAGTTCCCAGTCTTCGTCTACTTGTTTCGAGATTGGGTGCTCGGTGTCGGACTCGCGTTCCTCGGTAGTACCGACCCAGATGTTGCAGTAGCCTAGATCTTTGCTCTTCTTGCTGTCCTTGTTTTCGTCGGCGCTTTTGTCCTTGGCTTCTTCGAATTTGGTTTGGACTTGTTGTTCCGTCTTGGCTTGAGCGCGTTCGAGGTCTTCTTGGAGGTCTTCCATGGGTTCGTCGTCTGGTGGCCAGCCGGCGCCGACGGGCCATCCCTTGATGCCGCGCTGGCGGGCGTAGCCATCAGCAACCTTGAGCCAGTTGTCGGTTTTGACATCGGCGGAAGCGTCGAAAGCGACGAGAATGTCAACGTTGCGTCCAGGTCGGAGAAGAGGATAGATGGGTAGATTGTTGGACATTCCAGCGTCCATGAACTGGAAGTTCTTTTGTTCAAAGATGCTTTCAGGACATGATGGGGGAAGGAGCTCGCGCATACCGAGGGCGTAGTTGGGCATGGCAGCAGGGTCGATCGGATGGACTTTGACGAGATCATCATCGCGCTCAGCGATCATGGCGTCTATACTGCTGCCGAGTCCTGTGATACTGCGCATGAGGGGTCGGATCTCTCGGTAGTAGTGTGAGAGGGTCGCACAGAAGGCGGACCCCCAGATCCCCATGAGCAACGGAACGCGCACTTCGGGCAGAGCCAGGCCATTCTCCCGCCAGACTGTGCGTCCGTTTTCAAACTGACGACCCATTGCCCAGGTGGGTATGCCAGAGGAAAGCTCCTCGCACCACATCTCGTACGGCGTAAACTCGAACCATTGAAACCAAGCTTCTTTTCTGGCTTTTGCTTCGGCTGCGATGCGGTCTGTTGTGTCTCCTTGCTCGGCGAGCGGTATTTCGTGCCGTACCGCAGTGTAGATAGGTAGTGGATGTGACCCGTTGTCGGTATAGCGTCGCTGGTTCGAAACCTTGAAGTCGTATTCGCTAACAGAGAGTTCGCCTTTAGGTACGAGCAGGCGGGCGGCGAGCAGTGCGCCGTAGATGTCCACCAGTCCAAAGTCGGCATCTGGGATGCCCTTTGCTTTCTCGACCAGTCCGCTCAAAAGATATTTATTGGTGGGTGCGCTGACGAGCAGTTCGAGCGCATCAGCGGGGAAGGCAATGTGCACGCCGAGGCGATTCTTGAGGTGTCTGATCATGCGAGCGTGGCTGCGCTGGGTGAGGTCTGAGTAGTAGAGGGTCTGTAGCCAGCAGCTGCCACTGACACCAGCCGTGTAGGTGACGCAGTCGAAGAGACCGTGTTCCTTCGAGGAGAGGTACGACGATGTGCCTGCCACGAGCGCACGCAACCCTCCACCAGAGCCGCACATGGCAATGACGGGCACGTCGTCGGGATGTATTTGCGCTTCGGGAATGTCGAGGTATCGCGCAAGTGCAGCCTTGGTGAACTGCGCCCTCTGCTTCAGGAAAGCCTTTTCTTCCTCACACAGCTCGTCCGAGACCCTCACAGAGGCATCCCATATTATCTCGGGGTTGATCTCGGGATCGTTGGCTTCGTACCAGATCTCTTCGGCGAGCGAGCCCGGTGCCATGGAGAGCTCATCCTGGAGTTTGCGGATGAAGCCAGGGAGGACCTTGACCCAATTCGGCACGATGTAGTCGATGATAGTGTCGCCGAGCTTGGAAGGTGACGGGGAGGCGGGGAACTTGCTCGTGATGGTCTGCCAGGCTGACTTGCTCTGGCCGGCTTCCTCGTCCTCTTCGCTGTAGCCCTTGGCAACACGCGTCTGCGATGGCGCCTCCTGCTCACCTGACTTGTGCTCGCCTTCCTCATTCACCTGCCTCTCGGCGTCTCCGACCGAAGTGGTCTCGGTCTGTTTGTCATTGCCGCCGAAGAAGTATCGCTTGAGGGAAGGCGCGTCTAGGTGGATGGGACGAAAGAGTGGGTACGGCGACGATGCAGAAGAGAGGTAGCCAGTCGCAGCCGTCGCGAGGAGACATGGAGGGCCGTACCGCAGGCCGAGGGTAGTTGCTTTGGATCGCTGGGAGAGCGGGTGCTTCGTGTGCAGGCTGGTCCTATTAGCAGGGGCATACAATGGGTGGTGTGTTAGCTTACCCACGACGCGTCCCCCGCAGCCACAGGTGGCCCAGGTTGCGCGTGTTCCTATAGCCGGCCATGCACGCAATTGAGTCAGAAAGGGCAATGGGAGTGGGATGGAGGTGCCGTGCGAGCCTGGCACATGGGGAAGTGCGCAAAGCCCACCTGAGCCCATGGGAATGCGTTAAGCATGACGGAGCATGTAACCTGCTTTGAGCCCGCAAAATTCCGCCAGAACTGGTTTCGGCATGACGCCAGCCGAATCACTGCCCGCTCAACGTCTGCCAAGCCATGCAGGAACGCTGAACCTGCCGCCAATCAACCAATGTCTCCACCATCCACTTGCGAAGACACCCGCGTTATTCGCGACTTACATGAGCTACACGTATTTGGTCCTTGGACGTGGTAGGTCCAAGGACTATTCCAGTCTCGTATCGCAGGCACTCTGATTGCTCGCAAACAGACGTGCTTCAGCACCCATTCGCTACCAGCATAGATATGTCTTTATTTTCGACTGATGCAACAGTCATTGAGACTGCAGCTTTCTCCAGTTTCCTGCCAATTCTGACGCGCTTGGTATGACCAACCTTACTCTCCGGCGAGAGTGCGGAGAATTCCCAATCCCCTCACTCACCTGTACGTACCTCAGAGCATATCGAACATGGTAAGTAAAGGGCATCATGAGTCGGTGCATGTCCCTTCTCTCACCTCTCATCCTGAGCTCAGGCTGCATCTCATCCCTCAGGACGCTACTTAAGCTCTCTCAACTCGTGCCTTCTTCTTCTTCTCCTCTACAATCATCTCTCATCGACCATACTTTCTCTTGAATCATTGATACACCCAATACTCTTTCGGCTCGATTGGGCAACTTCTTCCTGATCCAACTCGAACAATAGCCTCCAAGATACGATGGCACTTCGAGCATCGACAAGACCGCCTGGTCGGAGCCAAACACCTTCCCAGAAACGGGACCTTACCGCCATGCACAATGCGACTATTGACGAAGAACTTGCCAACAACCGTTGGTATGCCTTGAAGCAAGAGGAAATTAAGGTCTTGGTCGAAGAATTGTGTGACAAGCTCACGAGTGCGATGCAGAAGTATTCGTCCGTCGACCAACGCTTCCAGGATTTGATCGATGCAGCAGAAATCGCAAGAAAACTACCTGACATCAGGTATTACAGTGTGGCAGTACTTGGAGAGCAAGGTATCGGTAAGAGCTCTCTTATCAATGCATTATTCGAACGAGGCCTCCTGGATCGATCGGGTTCTTCGAAGGCATGCACGGCTTATGCAACAGTCCTGGAGTACAAGCCCGGAGCTACCGACCACACTACTCTGAGCGATCTTCTAGTTGTGTTCTTCAACAAAGAGGAAATCAAGGATTGCATCAAAGAACAAATGGATCGATGGGTCGAGGTCTATCCTGGCGTCGACAAGAATCGCCAACCCCTTCAAGGCGAAGACGAGAACGATCCTGACGACGACAATGCTACTCAGCCGCCAAGTAAAACGACTTCCAAGACCATGTCGCGTGCAATCACCACCGCTAAGGAATTCTTCGAGATCATCTTTAACGTACAGAAAGATAAGCAGGCGAGTGTCGAGCTTGAGAGGATGCTCTATCATACGAACATCAAAGAGGGAAACTTCTTTAATGATTGTTGCAAACGTGCCAATGATCGATTCGCGCAACTTGCAACAGACATGAGCGAAAGAGACCTTCACAACCGGACTGCACACTTCAAGAATATTCCCGACAACAGGCTGGGCAGAAAAACAGCCAGAATCAAGGAGTTGTGGCCATTTGTGAAAGTCGTAACCATTGCGACCGGCCACATACTTTTGCGGCATGGATTACGCCTCTTCGACTTACCAGGTAAGCCACTGGCTCCTTATCATACGACGTTGAGCTAATGAAAACAGGCTATGGTGATACGAGTCAGCTGCGTGAAGGCGTGATCAACAATTTCCGCTGGAAGGCTGACTTCGAGATGGTGGTCGCGCCATGTTCTCGACTGCAGACTAGTGTCTTGCACGATGAGTATATTGATCGATCGATCCATCTCAAAGGAGCGAACAAGACTATACTAGTAATGAACAAGGCCGATGTCAGTTGACGCCTTCTCTCTATCAGAATGCCCGACTGACTTGTCTTCTAGGAACTCATCAACGAAGACAACATGGGTACACAGATTCGACAGATTAATGAACACCCGTTCCCAGCGCTGAATGCACGTCTGGAAGAGATTGACAATCTCGATGACGAAGGTATTGCGGAACCTGAAGTCGTATCCGATATGCTGGATGAGCTGCTGAGAGAAGCCACGATTGCTTACATAAAGTATGAAACTGCAAATGTGCAGCGACAGATGCATCCAAAAGGAATCAAGGTCTTCTCGGTATCCGCACTTGCTCACACTTCTTCAAGAAGCCGCATTCAGAGAGACACTCCGATCCTTGACGATACCACGGCTGGAATCTACGCGTTAAGGCATTTCCTGGCTACATTGCCAGCAGCCACCAACTATCGGGATTTCTACGAACATGTCCACGCTACGCTACCATCATTCCGAAGACAAGCTGAAAGACCTTTGGAGAAGCACATAGAAGACAAGAGTTATGCTAAGATGCGACGCGATTTGAAGGCTCAGATCGAACCAGTTCGGAATACCTTGAAGAATCTGGCAGGCAGTCCCCTACAGTCCCTGGTAGGAAAGCCTTGGTCTCAAAACGAGGAACAAAGTATCATAAGTGGCATACAGCAGCTGGTGCAGAACTCATGGGTCCATCCCTTGATCTACTACCCGGGCTTTGCAAAGATGCTCGCGGAGAACGGAAAACCAGTCTCCGGAAAATATAAGGGTTACAACATGAACTACGAGCTCCTTGGTACCATGAAATTTTTTTTGGACAATTGGTATAACAACTTGAACGCCAGCACCGTGGAATTCGCTATGAGTCTGTACAGGGTGCTTCAAAAATTGTTGCAGGCAACTCGATCGGCCATCACCCAGTCATCCGCACACCCGGATTTGAAACTAAGAGCTACTGAAGAGTTGGCCCTAGTAGAACGACGCGTCCAGGCGGCATATGACATGTTGCTCGCTAGTCTTCGCGTCTCGCTTGGAGAAACTCATCTGCGATTCACCACGGAGATCGACATCTACTGTCCAATAGCAACTGCAATGAAGGCCTCCTACGACCTAGCCTCCGATCGAAACATGGTTGGCGCTGGCCCAGGAATTTACAACAGGCAACGACAAGCGCTACAGAACTCGATCATCGGCAACCCAACCTATGGAAACTACGGCTATGGCCCGCCTGGCGAGGCGTTGCGTCCACTTCTCAAGAATATCGAAGAAAAGCTTCAGACCCAGCAGAGAGACGCGTGGAAGACCGATTGCGATGCCTTTGTCACCAGCGCTGTTGACCTTATTGAGGGATTCTCAAATACTGCTGAGCAGCTTCTTATGAACTCCTCGTATGTGACTGAGGAGCACAAGCAGGCTCGTGGCGAGCTCAGGAAGCTGCTCAATGACTTCGACATGAGCCTTGAAGATGTTCAGAGCCGATTCATCGGCGGAGAAGAGGAGCATACTGAGAAGAAGATCAAGCGCGAGCAGACTGAAGATGAGGCATTAGTCGCACCATCTGCTCGCGATCCGCTGGTCCCTTCGGTGCCAATCTCGCAGAATGAAGGTTGGACTCAGTTCCGCGAGTGGTTTGGTGGCGGTCGCCCTGGACAGTGATAGTGAACTGCGTTCTGTCTTGACTTGCGGATTGCATGCGCATGCGTATGCGCCACATGGCTTCGAATTCCTGGTTTTATTACTTCTTTGGTATTGTTTTCTTTCCGCGTTTTCATGACTTGAGAAGCCCGCCAGCTGGGAAAGCGACCATCATTACTTCATCTTCATTCTTCCAAGTACTATCGATGCCCTGGCGAGGATTTCACGTGTACGGGATAAAAACACCATAGCTTCTGCGTATCTAGTTTACTCACTTACTACTCAATTGTATACCCTTGTACAACATCCGTCTGTGCTCACATGCGCCACAGTGGTACTTGAATGCAAGGCGCATACGCGTCGCCGAAACATATGTGATACGCAGACAGCGGGTTCCGGTGGCAGGCGAGGCTGATTAGCGCATGTACCCGCTGTGAAAAACGTCATTCTGGGGTATCAAGGCCCGCAGATGAGTTGGCTGCCGTGCAGTTCTACGTGTAACAAGCATGTATTGCGTGAAGCCGCGATGAGTACCTCGACTGCGCGGCTTATCGAAAAGTGAAAGGTGTCGAGATGATCTACGCTGGACCCTGGCCGTCTTAGCGTTGCCTCCGCGACAGCTCTCCGCAAGCATCCCCTCCCACATCATCCTATACCGCGGCGTCGTATTCCCCCATTGGATATTCTTTCGTTTGTACAAACATATGCTGTACTTCATGTTCGCTTCATTATTACCCGCCCGTTTGATATAATCGAGGTCGTCCTCGCCGCCGAACGCGCGTACACGTAGCCCTCGAGGCAGTTGCGCATCTATCCAGCAGTCGCCATGGTCGCTCCCCGGAAAGCCGCGCTCCTGGAGGAGAGTGCGGAGGTCGAAGTGCTCTTCGCCAACATGGAGAAAATGAAGACGCTCACAAAAAAGATCCAAGGCTCCGTCAATAGGCTCGATGCGAGCGGAAAGGCAGTCCAGGAAGCAATCGGCCCAATCTACGGCAACACACAGAAGCTACAGATAGCAAACAACAACGTCGACCGTATAATAGACGCAATCGACCGCCTTCGAGCCCCGCGTGAAGAAAGTGCAAAGGAAGAGAGGATTATCCGCGCCGGACCTGGACGAGGAGACCTGGACGGCTACATCGCTTCGCTCGACCGCACCAACATGAGTCTCGCAGACCTCAAGCGCACCAACCTTCGCTCCAACGAACAGGCCATTGCAGAGCTTAGCGGACTCTTGAAGCTGGGCAACAAGCAATTGGAGGATGTGTTCCGCGGTATACTGCAGGATAGCGCGCGAGAAAAGGTCCAAGCCTTGGAATATGTCGCAAAGCGTATGTCGCCCATATACTACGACTGGGGAGATACTAACATCGTATAGAAAATCCCTTCCCCCGCATGCCCCAGGATAAACTCCAGAGCCTGCGCAGCATCAACTCGCACATTTCCAAGTCCTTCGCCCAGTTATCGCAGATCGATCTTTCGCAGACCCCCACACGAAGAATATACGCAGACGTCCGGGGCGAATACCTAGAGAGCGCACTGAGGAGTCTCATGCAGGCGACCATCAGCACAGCCAGGAAGGTGCAGGCAGATGCGCTGTACAAGAAGGGTACTAATGGTATCGGCACATACGTCCAAGCGATAGAGGGTCTCTTCGTAGCGGAGTTTGACAACCTGAACTACGTCTTCGACAGAGAGGAATGGGCCGATGTCTACGAGTCAACGTGCCAGGTCCCGCTGCAGGACTTTAGCAAGACCCTACGTGAGCTGAACGGGCATATTCAGAAGAACCTGCTGACAGACTGCTTTCTTGGATACGAGATTTGCGGGTTGGTCCGGACTCTGTCGATGCGGCTGCAGAAGCAGACTGGCGCCCTGAAAGATCAGATCTATGACAGCGTGAAGCCGGTTCGGGAGACGTCGAAAACGTCTCTGAGCAAGATGCTCGAAGATACACGGTCAAAAACACAAGGACTCATTGCGCTTCCTATCGACGGCGGTCCGGTGGATATTACAACCCAGACGATGCGACGCTTGCAAGAGATGACCAACTACCTCGAACCTCTTGCGTCGATATTGGCATCTTTGGGAGAGGGCGGTTGGAACTCTGGATCGGCTAACAACTCATCCACGACTTTGGACGTTGGCCCCGACGGCGTGAAGTTGTTCGGGTCATACGCGGCGGATACTGTCGACACACTTTTGCAGAATCTAATTGGCAAAGCAAAGACACTACTGAAGGGCAAGAACCTGCAAGGTGTCTTCATGGCCAACAATATCGCTATCATCACACGCATTATTCGCTCTTCAGAACTCGCACCGCTCATGGACAGCTACTCCAAGAAGCTGGCAGACTGGCGTAAGCAAGGCACGGCCATGTATCTTGAAGCGTGGCGTGAACCGTCAGGGTACCTACTGGATGTGCAGTACACGAACCGTAGCAAGGAACGCCCAACGTCAGGCGGTGCAGATTCGGCAGCTATCGTAAAGTCTCTTAGCTCCAAGGACAAGGATGCAATCAAGGAGAAGTTCAAGAACTTCAACACAAGCTTCGACGATCTTGTCACACGACACAAGGCGTACGCAATGGAGCCCGAAGTGCGGAACCAGCTTTCCAAGGAAGTACAGAACATCATCGAGCCCCTGTACAACCGGTTCTACGACCGCTACCGGGAGATCGACAAGGGGAAGGGCAAGTACGTCAAGTACGACAAGACCGAGTTGAACAGGGCATTGGCGAGCTTTGCATAGCGAGGTGTTGCGGCGTTAGATTGGAGTTGTTTGCTTGGGACATGCGCAAAATACCCTTTGATTTGCATAGATAAGACGATGAACTGGATACGGGTATGCCGATGGTCGGGATGGATGCGATGTAATTGGATAGGTGTCGAGTCTCACATCCCGCGTCCTGTGGTGCCATGCTGCAGCAGCGTGAGCGGCAGCCTTGGGGTGCGACAGCGGTGTCAGGGTTGGGGCAGATAGTCGTGAGGAAGCAACGACCGCTTAATGTCTAGTCAACGCGTTGCTCGTGCCTTCTAATTACCCACACGTGACGCTACCTCTTTGGGAAGCACGGTTCGCGACTGCCTCTTGCAGCAGTGCACAAGAGCACAAAATCTTCAACAACGTGAAAGGTGTCAACTGCATCCCTCCTACACTCTCCCTCACCCGCGCTGCTCCCACTTGTCGTGTGTTATTTCCAGCGGTATTCGACGCCGGCTCGCTGCTAGTGGTGACGCGGGGATTTTTGGTCTAGTGCCCATTGCTTCGGCGTTGCTCCAATCGCGCCCATCCCTGTGCGGACCCCTTTCCTCCACCCAGCGACGGACGGCACCACGACTTCCCTTTCCAACGTCGAAGCCTCCGGACAACCACGCCATTTTCCTTCGCAGCCATCTGCACCACCTTCAATTCATTGCTTTGAGTGCATCACTCACTCGAGAGCATAACTACCGCTGACTGGTACGCCGCCCTTCCCTCACGCCTGTCTCACTTTATTTCTCCCGATCTGGGCTTGGTCGCGTTGTTACATTTGTTTAGCAGCCACGCAGCCAACACCAGCACGCATTGAGAACCTCCGCTGACATCGCTCTCTCATCTGCAGAAGTCCCTCACTTGACGACCCATCGTCCGTTTCTACTACACTATTTACACCATGGGTAAGGAGCTCTCCCCGACCCCCGTCTCGCGACATCAACAACTACACCTCAGCCACGGCATCATTGGCACCTCAGGTACACACGCGGTGGCTCTTGGGCAACGCCAAGCAGGGTCATACCTGTTTGGCATTGGTCGCTGCTGCCGCGCTCGATGGCCATGATCTCTCTCCCCTGGCCCCTGGCTAACATTCTGCTGTAGAATCCAACGGTGCTACCTCTCCCGCGCCGCCCACCCGTGCGTCTCCATCGCCCCCAGCGTCGTCCAGCGGATACGGCATGGATCAAACGATGTCGATGTCTAACGGCTCCTCTCCAGCGGTGCACACCATCACGGCGAAGAACCCCAAGGCCGCAGCTGCCATGGCAAACGACATGAACATTGTGCGCAGGAAGCTCACAGGCTACGTTGGCTTTGCGAACCTGCCTAACCAGTGGCACCGCAAGAGTGTGCGCAAGGGATTCAACTTCAACGTCATGGTTGTCGGTAGGTGTACACCCCGCCCACGAATTGTCCATCCGAGCTAACGTGTCATTTCAGGCGAGTCTGGACTCGGAAAGTCGACCCTTGTAAACACGCTCTTCAACACTTCGCTGTACCCGCCCAAGGAGCGCAAGCCCCCCAGTCTCGACATCTCCAAGACCGTATCGATCCAGTCGATTAGCGCCGATATCGAGGAGAACGGTGTCCGCCTGAGGTTAACAGTAGTCGACACACCCGGCTTTGGCGACTTCATCAACAACGATGAGTCCTGGGACCCCATTGTCAAGAACATTGAGCAGCGCTTCGACGCCTACTTGGATGCTGAGAACAAGGTCAACCGCATGAACATTGTCGACAACCGCATCCACGCCGTTGTCTACTTCATCCAGCCCACTGGCCACTCCCTGAAGCCCATCGACATTGAGGTGATGAAGAAGCTCCACACCAAGGTCAACCTGATTCCCGTCATTGCCAAGGCCGACACCGTTACTGACGATGAAATTGATAACTACAAGAAGAGGGTACGTCGCTTCATCTGCCTATATAGCACTGCTAACAAGTACAGATTCTTGCAGATATCGCCTACCACAAGATCCAGATCTTCGAGGGCCCACGGTATGAGCTTGACGACGAGGAGACCATTGCGGAGAACCAGGAGATCATGGCCAAGGTCCCCTTCGCCGTTGTCGGTTCCAACACCGAGGTCACGACTGTTGACGGCCGCAAGGTCCGCGGGCGTGCGCTGCCCTGGGGTGTCGTCGAAGTCGACAACGAGGAGCACTGCGACTTTGTCAAGCTGCGCCAGATGCTCATTCGCACCCACATGGAGGAGCTCAAGGAGAACACTAACAACGCTCTGTACGAGAACTACCGCTCCGAGA